GGAGGAGAAGCAGTGGCAGGAGCAGACTTCAGGCATCTGCCCGAGTTCAACCCCCCTTCCTTCATGCCATATGGGAATGTTGGCACCCCCCTGAAGGTTTTCCTGGAGCTGATCAGGGCCTGCAGGCTGCCCCCCCGGGTCATCAAGAAATTGCAGCTGGATTTTCCAAAGACTGGCTCATCCCGCAGGTACGGGAACGTGCCCTTTGAATACCAGGACTCTGAGACAGTTAGAGAAGAAGAAAGAGTTTACACAGCTACAGGGGATGAGATCACAGAGGGAGAGGAACCTGTGGCAGGATCAGCAGTGACTCACCCAGCCAGTGCTGATGAAGATGAGGAAGAGCAGGAAAAGGAGGAAGAGGAGTCACACTCGGAGGACGTAAGTGGGTTTTTCTGTCATCATCTAAGCTTGAACATTGGAAAGGTGGGGAGGGACTTTGGACAAGGGCAGGGAGGGAGAGGCCAAGGGGGAATGGCTTAGAAAAGGGGAAATTGAGGTTGGACATGAGGAGGAAATTCTTGGGTGTGAGGGTGGTGAGAGCCTGGCCCAGGTTGCCCAGGGAAGCTGTGGCTGCCCCATCCCTGGCAGTGTTGAAGGGCAGGTTGGAGGGGGCTTGGAGCAACCTGGGCTGGTGGGAGGTGTCCCTACCCATGCAGGGGGTTGGGACTGGATGATCTTGAAGGTCCTTTCCCACCCAAACCATCCCATGATTACAGCCACCAAGCTGGGAGGGCTGATGCAGTTCTCTCAAAGCTCATTTTTAATCTTTGAATCAAACGGTATGAACCACTTGCCTAAAATTGGTGTTAAAACACAGGCTTTCATGTCTTGCTGCATAAAGAGTGGGGGCATCAACACCCCTAAAACTGGGCTCTAGATCAAGGTGGTTGTTGGGGTTGAGCCCAGAGGGTTGGGTCCCAAGGAGCAGGACCAATCCATGGCAGATTGTCCCAGCAGAGATCCAGGAGCACCTTGTACTGGGAATGAACCATGGAGGAGCTGTACAAATGGTTGTCCTGGAATGCTCCTGTGATTGAAGTTGGTTATTCCAAGAAAAGTAGCTTTTGTGACAAAGACTTTTGGAAAACTGGGCTGGACTGCCTCTCTGGGGACTCTCTCTGTCCCCCAGCTCCAGGCACTTGTCTGGCCTCTTCCTTGTCATTAGAGCAGCTCAGTCCTCAGGCAAATAATTTATTCCCTTTCTTTTCCACACCAGAATTAACTCAGCTGCCAAATCTCTGCTGCAATTTCACCCCATTAGCTTCTCCTGGAAACACCAGACACAGGGAACACTTTGTTCCCTCCTTTCCCAACTTTTTAATCAGTCTTTTCTTCTCCAGACTAAACAGGCTCCTCCAGCCCTTTCTCCCAGGGTGTTTCCTGCCTCTCCAGTCATTTTTTTTTTTTGCTTTCCATGGTTAATATTTCCCTCAGAGAAAGATTTTCCTTAGCCCCAGCAGCAGTGGAGCTGTCAGGCTGATCCCTGCCTGTGCCAGAGCTGCTGGAACTGACACCACCTGGTGAGGAATCAACTGGAGTGGAATTAATTTGTTCCTACTGCTGACTTGAGGTCCAACACCTACTCCTTAAATGGGCATCCCTGCCTTTCTGAATCCCTGCTGGAAGGTGCTGTCAAGTGGGTGTGATGTGGTGTCTTTTTTTTTTTCACCACTGCTGAGTCTGGTAGATGGAATGAGTCAGGAGGGTGAGGTCACCAGCTCTGGTCGTGTCAGTGCCTGAAAGCAGCAGGTTGGGACAGCTCTGCCATGGAATTGTGGACTCATGGAATGGTTTGGGTTGGAAGGGACCTTAAAGATCATCCATTCCCACCCCCTGCATGGGCAGGGACACCTCCCACCAGCCCAGGTTGCTCCAAGCCCCATCCAACCTGCCCTTCAACACTGCCAGGGATGGGGCAGCCACAGCTTCCCTGGGCAACCTGGGCCAGGCTCTCACCACCCTCACACCCAACAATTCCCTTCTCATGTCCAACCTCAGTCTCCCCTCTGCCAGTTTTAATCCATCCCACCTTGTCCTCTCCCTCCCTGCCCTTGTCCAAAGCCACAGGATCACATAATTCCTTGCTTGCAAAAGCCCTTTAAGATGATCCAGTCCAACCCTTCCCCCAGCCCTGCCCAGGCCACCACTGCCCCATGTCCCTCAGCACCAAATCTACACAGCTTTGAAACCCCTCCAGGGATGGGGACTCCACTTCCCCTGAGCTGTTCCAGGCCCTGAAAACCCTTTCCATGAAGAAATCACTCCCAAGATCCCATCTAAACCTCCCCTGGGCAACTTGAGGCAATTTCCGCTTGTCCTAAAGTCCCTCCCCAGGCGCTTGTTGACGGAGCTGCTTGGTGAGGAGGATGTTGGGATGGGCTGGGGAGGTGAGGGCAGTGGGGAGGGGGCTAGTGTTGCCCACCTTTCCCCACCTCCCTTGCAGGACAATGACACCTGTGAGGAGTGGGAGCGCCACGAGGCTCTGCACGAGGACGTGACCAAGCAGGAGAGGGTGGAGGAACGTCTGTTTGAGGAGGAGATTGAGCTCAAGTGGGAGAAGGGAGGATCTGGCCTTGTCTTCTACACAGATGCCCAGTACTGGCAGGAGGAGAATGGAGGTAATTATAGACTGGTTTGGGCTGGAAGGGACCTTAAAGATCATCCAGTCCCCCTGCATGGGCAGGGACACCTCCCACCAGCCCAGGCTGCTCCAAGCCCCATCCAACCTGCCCTTCAACACTGCCAGGGATGGGGCAGCCACAGCTTCCCTGGGCAACCTGGGCCAGGCTCTCACCACCCTCACACCCAAGAATTTCCTCCTCATCTCCAACCTCAATCTCCCCTCTGCCAGTTTCAATCCATCCCCCTTGTCCTCTCCCTTCCTGCCCTTGTCCCAAGTCCCTCCCCAGCTTTCCTGGAGCCCCTTCAGGCCCTGGCAGGTGCTCTGAGGTCTCCCTGGAGCCTTCTCTTCTCCAGGCTGAACACCCCAACTCTCCCAGC